GCTGCATCCCCCGCCGCGACACTCACCCTCGCAGGTCGGCGACGAGCGTCTGCGTCCCGTTCTTGACGTCGAACACCTTCACAGAGCGGTCGGACGAGCAGGTCGCAAGACGCGTGCCGTAGTAGTCCATCGCTGCATCGTGCTGCGGAAACACACGCCAACCGTTCGTTACACACGTGTGTAACGATAGCGTTGCACTCGCCACAATACACTATGGTCGCGATGCGACGCGTATCTCGATTTAAATCTCTACATCAATACGAATACTTTAAATAAAATAAGAAAATAATATAATACAAATAAAACAAAAATACTTTATTAAATAGTTTACGATATTTAATTTTTAAGGTTTAACACGCATTTCGTGTGTATCGCGATGTGGACGCTGTGTGTATAGAGATATAGAGATATAGAGATATAGAGATATAGAGATATATATCGTATTGTGAGCTGCTGTGTTGCAACTCCCCGATTCATCGCTGTATCATTACACCCCTACAGTGCATGCATCATCACGTGCAATGACAACGGGACAAATAGCGATGTTGAGTTTAACCAATTCGACAACGCCTGTAGGAATATTGTTAGAAACCGTGTATGAGGGTCGCTCTAGGGAAACATCCATAAATGTCCTTCACCGACAGGTACTACAATAGAGAAACAGCTTCACTGAGTAAGCATCACTCGAGTAAAATGTCAAACGTTGCCTTTATTAACGGGTTGCCATTCTTACTGATGCATATGTAGTAAATGTGTACGCATTGCATGTTGTTAGTAGGAGACTAGCATACGTGCTACATGTTAATACAGTACTTACAATCATGTCCTCATGACTTGTGTCGATAGTGTTCAAGACAGAAACCTACAAAAATGACATTTTTTAAATAATTTAATTAACACTAACTGTGGTGCATTATTGGTATTATATTAGTAACTGTACTGGTGATGGTGCCGTAGTGTAGCAGTACCAAGCTCGAATTCACAAACGTACATTGGATTTGTTACAAGATGAAGATACATGTGGCATGATCATGGTTCAAGGATAGAGAGCATGGCCCGATTAAGACCCATGTCATTTTGATCAAGTTTTTATTGATTACTAAATATTGTGCATTGTGAGAAACATACAATCTAGTTATTGACCAGTGGATACAGACGGATTATGTTCATTATCAATATCAATCAGTGACCCACTATCACTATCACTATCTGTCTAGTCTGAGAGACTGAGTCAGTGACACAGGCCCGTAGCCAGCTTTCTATTGGGGGGGGTTCGTTTTTCAATGTTGGCAATTTGCTCGGCAGGGGCGTGTACAGGATTTGTACCAACAGACAAAGATAAGATAAATACAATTTCAACTTGATTTTTGTAAATTTATTGCTCGAAAGCTCATCGTATCCAAATGCATGCATTTCCCTTAGCCGGCACCCGCGACCTTGGCCTATGACCTTGTCGTGACCCGAGTAGCTCGCCCTGAACCGAGAACGACTTCTCCTCGCGTGCGCCCTCACCTCCAGATCTTGACCAGACTGTCGCAGCCTCCTGTGACAAAGCGCTTGACCGCCTTCCCGGTGCCGCTCTGGTCCGGCATCGAGTTGGACAGCACGGCCGAGGCCCAGCTGACCGAGTTGCAGCCGATCTGAAACAGGAGGAAGAACCGTCATCCAATGGCTGCAGAAATAGCGAGAGAGCAAGTGCATGAGAGAGCGGGGGGGTAGTTTGAGAGAGGGTGAGAAAGAGAGAGACAGAGGGCGAGAGTGGGGGTGGTGCGACAGAGGGTCAGAGAGAGACAGAGGGAGAGAGCGGGGGTAATGTGAGAGAGGGTCAGACAGAGACAGAGGGAGAGAGAGGGGGTATTGTGAGATAGGGGCAGAGAGAGACAGAGGGAGAGAGAGGGGGTAATGTGAAAGAGGGTCAGAGAGAGACAGCGGGAGAGAGAGGGGGTAGTGTGAGAGAGGGTTAGAGAGAGACAGAAGGAGAGAGAGGGGTAGTGTGAGAGAGGGTCAGAGAGAGAAAGTGAGAGAGGGGAATGAAAAGGGTGAGAGGGGAGAGAGGCAGGCAGAGGGACAGGGAGAGGAAGCAAGAGTGAGTTAGTGAAAGAGAGAGATAGATAGATAGATAGAGATAGAGAGAGACAGCGAGAGAAAGAGAGAGAGAGAGAGAGAGAGATGAGAGGAGAGGAATGCAGAGAGAGAAAGGGAGAGAAGAAAAACCGTGTGGATCCCAGAGAAGCAGCGACTTACCGTGTGTGCGTTCGTGATCTTCTTCGATTCCCAGTTGCCATCACCAGAGCTGGAAATGATGGAGACGGCTCCGTCTGAGCTGCCGCATGCCAGCATGAGTCCGTAGTCATGAGGAGCCCACGATATGCTGTTGACTGCAAGCGGACAGCAAGCAAGCATGCGTGACCTAACGCTAACCTTACTGAAACTTTGCTTATTGGATTTCTATTGTGACAGCAAGCAAGCATGTGTGACCTAACACTCTAACCGTATTAAAACTTTGCTTGTTAGACTTCTAATATGATACCTTAACTGCAGACACGCGCGACATAACACCACCCTTAGTAAAGCTTTATTTATTAGACTTTTAACATTAAATTTTAATTGTGGACACGTGACCAGGATTAGCAGCAGCCGTGATGCTAACCTTTCCATTTCAGAGAGCTTCTTGTCGACACAAGTTTCGCTGATGACGGTAGTGACCATTACAGTCGCTTAAGAATTTCGTCAGTGTGCTTAACAACTTTGCTGTCCATCAGCGGCGACTTCTTTGCCATTACCAACATCACCAACAAAGCCTTCGCACGACTACAATCAACACCAACACGAATACCACCGGCACATCGCACACACCGCCCCAACCGTCGCCGCGTCGTCGCGCGCGTTGCCGCGGCAACATCGACTACTAACCCGACGAGTCGTGGTTGGCGTACTCGTACAGCTTGTTCCACTGGCCGCCGCTCTCCTTCCAGATGAGCACCTTCCTGTCGTAGGAACACGAGGCCAGCAGGTTGCCGCACATCGGGTGCGCCCACGCCACCTGCCACACCGGTCCGTCGTGCCTGCAGGAATAACGCAATGCCGATACAGAGAGAGCGAGTGAGAATATGATGTTTTACTGCCTGGCCGCATACGACCCGGGTACGCGCACGTGTATTTATTCTAGTATTTACACTCTTTCGCACGCGCGCACACACCACGCGCACGCACACACCACGCACACTCACGCGCACAGAGGAACGCGCGCGCCCACGCACATACGCACACGTACGCACACGCACACACACACGGCCACTCACGTCAAGCTGCTCCCACACGCGTGCG